ACTCGTTAAATATCGAAGTTAGAAGGAAAACAACTTTTATTTGAAGCATTTTTCGATATTTTGAGAAAAAACAGATTTTGTCAATGGTTTCCAAAATTTCATGAAATTTCCGATAATATGAATTATTCCAACATATACGTATCTATTTTAAAAGAGAAAGGGTTATTCTTCTCCCGTTTGGTCTCTACCTTGTCTCCGTGGCTATGGCGATTTAATAACGCGGCTCTTTCCCGCTGCCTGTCGCGTTAATCCCGCGGCACGACAAACGAAATTATCGGACAACGGAGGAAGAAGAAGGACCCGGGTCTGTGTGTTTGGGCCGTGGCTAAAACGGAAATTCGTCGGCGCATCGTTTTTGAAGTTTCAATTAAAGGAGGATGCGTGGCTCGGCGACCACGGATTTCGTCCCGTCGGATTCCCTGGCGAAAATTGCACAGTCTGCGCGCGTTTCGTCCCGGATGGATCTCCAGAGAGGCGGCTCCAGTCCGTTAATTAAATTAATCCCGATACGGTATTTTTCCTGGTGCGCGTTAGCCCTCGAAGACGTAACAAATTTATGCGCGAATCGCAGCGTGCATTCTTTTGTTCGGTTTTAACCTTCGAAGGGATCACTGTAACTAATGCTCGGCGGTACCTAATTAACGCATTCACGGTCGACCCTGCGGATCGGTCGCGTTAGATCGCAGATAGAAGTAGTCGCATCAAACCGAGGGCGAGTTGAACGCAAATACGAGTACCCATGCAGGAACGCGGAAAGAATAAAGGAAACCGGCTAATAAAAGCACCCCGCAATGAGAAAATCTTGAACCGTCGGCGAACTAGACTGCCGACTGCCTCGCGGCCTGCGTTTACGTGCCTTACGTGCTTGGCGAATGCGCGTGATGGACGCTTTTGTGCTCGCCCTGCGATTTTTCTCACTTTTATTCCACGATTCCCTTAACGGTCCCCTTCTTCCGTACCGGATTATATTGTAATCGATGTAATTTGTGGAAACTACTAGAAAATCAGCGAGCTAGATAGCTGAAGGAATTTCAACTCGTTCGCGCCAGATTCCGCCTCGACCTTTCGGATAACGGCCGCAAACGCGTTCCCTTGGCACCTGCCGTGCGATTGCGTCTCTCGTCGTTAGCTAATCGGTAGTGGTTAGATGTCGAAATCCCCTCGCTATATTCGCGGCTAAAAATAATATCTTTACACCGGGAGAACGTTAATCTCTGGCCGCCGATTCCATTTCAAATGCAGGTTCACACGATACTCAGTCGAACGTGCGAAACGAAATCATCGAAACCGGATTGTCATGCGTTGGAACGTGAAATCGGTATCTCTTGAGCGCGTTACGTCGAGTTTGACAGAATATTTAATGAGATGTTTCGAGTGGAAATTTGCAGTCCGCCGACGACGTTTGTCGTTCCTCGGGGTTTCTACGAAACGGTCCGTCTCGACGAATGGACATTCGCGATCAATTCAGCGAGGACAACCGCGTGCGTGTCGCGACAATCGCGACGCTGATGAGTTCTTAAGAATGTCCACGTCTCCACGCAATGAGCCTCGCTGACGAATCACTCCTCGCCTCCCCTGTCGCGCGAGAGCTACCAAGCTAGCCAGGCTTGCCCGCAGAATTTTAATTTCTAGCGCGTGCGATTCGCGGCGACGCGTGAAAAACGTATAATCGGCAAGAGTCGGCGATAGGATTTTTTCTCGTCGACTCCGAAGGAAAAAGATTAATACGTTGAAAACAAGCTTTATCTTGGCCGCGGTGTTCGATGACGCGGGAGGGCCGCTCGTTCGGTTGAGCGATAAGCCTTATCGAAATAATTGCGATATCTGAAAATGTCCGCACTGTCGCTCGCGAAAATCCCCTGGCTGTGTGCGAATCCGAACCATCGCCGCGTGTGCAAACAAATCCACAATCTGGTCTCCAACTGTACCAAGCGGCTGCTTCAAAAACGTTATTTCGTTTCGAAGATTTTATCAGAATTGATTAAAGAAAATCAGTGGTAAAAGATTGCGAATTTTATCAACTGATTCGCAGTGTTTACTCGCGTCACGAATACGAGTCTGAAATCGTTTCGTTTAGGAACAGTTTCGTGTGTCTCTTTGCACAGACATGCCACAGAACTAACGTTACATAAATCCTTTCGCACATTCTTGATTCTTATTACATAAAAGAAAATGTTTCTAGTTCGAGGTTGCTGAAAGCAGTGTTCGAGGCACAGTCGAACCGTGACCAAGGAACGAGTTTGTTGCGAAGGGGGCCGCGTTATCGGCACGGTCGACACACGTAGCCGATTATATTTTTCGCGGAGAACACGGCCAAGCGCGGACGAGCCGTCGGGAAAAA